CAGGTGGTGCAGGCTGCCTACAACGCCAAGCACATTATCTTGACCGGATCTACTCCACCCCCTGTACCCCCAACTACGCGTCTTATTGACAAACATGGAGAGTACTAGTTAATTCGTGACAAATGAGAAATCGACTTTAATACATCCAGAAAACAAGAAAATTTGTCTATTATATGAGAATATGTGTTGGAGCAATCTTCTGAAATATCTAGAAAGAGAAAAGTATCGATGCGACGCAATCAACATACGTTCTAACAGAAAATTTTGTGCCACTAATCTGCCCCAAAAGGAACATTCCGATCCACAAAGAAATCATTGTGGTATAGTTTTACGAGATAAGGCAAAGGATAATGAAATATCAGTATCAATTGTCTAAAAGTTAACCACCTGTGCCTGCTTCTATGTCGGTTCAATGGTGTACATTCATATTTTATGTGCAAAGACAGCATTTTTTCGATCAAAAATTTTATCTCTCGCTGAATTATAGAATACGGATTAATAGAATTTACATATTTCCATTCTTAATGTATAAACCTTAAGTAAATGGAATTGACTTGTGCATCTACGCAATAGAGCTAAAGGGATATTGCTTTTATCTTTTTATCTATTTATTGTTCGCACAAAATAAATATCTGTTTTAACTGCTGAAGGCGAGATCCAGGCTGCAGTTCGTGGTTTTTACTACACACACACACACACATAGTAATGTTTCAGCTGCTACACTTTCTTAATGCTTTATATTACACATATATCATAATGTTTCAACTGCGGTTGAAGACGAGATCCAGGCTGCCGTTCGTGCTTTCAGGTCTGTTTTTGATGAGGAGATCAGCAAGCGTGATTTGGACGAGGAGAAGAGAGCGTAAGTGACTACTTATCTATTCACAGATATGATGATCGTTATTATCGTTACATGTTCTACGCATGATTTTCAGGTTGCTGACTAGCGCTTACATCTTCAAAAAGGCAAAAACAGGAAAAAATAAGAAAAAAAAAATTAAATTGTATGAAAAATATCACTCATCCTAAGATAAGCAAAATTGAAACGTTACAGCGAGTTATGCCTATTGCAAAATGATATTTTCTTTTCCAAGTGTCCTCCGTGCTGTTCAGACTGAGTTCGGACAGGCTTTGGAGCTCGCCCTTCAGCAGGCTGTAGAACAGGTCAACTCTGCCGTGGCCCATGGACAGAAGGTATGGGGAATATTACCGTGAAGTTTTGTTATATTGGCAAGAAAATGACGAAGGGATGACATACGTAGAACGTTTTCAGTTCTAGTATTCTTTTTAGTATATCAGTTTTTCTAACTTATCTTTAATTTCTGTGGTTGGACCCTATTGGTCTCATTCATGTATCTTCATACGGACAACAGTTATCAATTTTATGAGGCGATTTGGCAAAATGAATATCACAATGGATCATTTTCTTGCTTTTTTAAATGACATATGGACTCGGAACAATATTGGTAAATAATGAAATGATAATTTGCTAATGATGAAATGGTGATCATTGAATTTAATTGATTCTTTTTTTTTTCATTTAAAATTTAGGTCACCAGTGAGATGCTGGCGAAGGTTGCCAATTACACCGAGTTGTTGAAGCAGCAGGGAGCCCAAACATACACAGACGTCAAGCAGATTCTGAGTGCCCTCACTGTCCAGGCCAAGCAATCCATTGAGGACGGCCTCAAGTCCCTAAGTGGCCTGAAGAACAAGTTCACCGCTGCTTTCAAGGATCTTGCTGACAATTTCTTCAAGGGACTCCAGAGTCTTTTTGGTAAGTTTTCCAATACATTTGATATTCTAAAATGACGGTTTGTTTAGTTAACCTATCTTTAAAATACAATGGGCATGTGGTTAGGTACATTTATATAAATCACTACAACCAGTATCTCAGACAACTCAAAGAAAGTCCACATGCCAGGGGATTAAGGCAAATGAATATCACCCCATTAACAAAAAAAAAAAAAAAAGGAGAAGCTGTACCTTCTTCGAACTTGACCTACAGGTACTTATCCTCTCTCCAGTTCGTAAAAGTCTGCCAAATAACGTAATGTATGACGCATTACTGTAATTATTGTAATTATACGATTGTATGCATATTCCATCTGCTATCATTTTTCAAAGGCAAGAGAGGACTTCGAGATTGGTGGGCGAAAGTAAAAGACACCTTAAATGACGTATTGGACAACCTCAAGGAGAAATATGCTGCTCTTGTAGCATACGTGAAGCTTGGTGAGGCCGTGTACCAGAGCAAAGGACACCTTGAAAACATCAAACTTATGGCCACAACCGTAAGTAAATCACTGTAATTTGATTCGAATAGATACACAACTGGTATAAAACATTGCCCGAATTGCAATATATGGATACGTACAACGAAGTTCAAATTATGTTGTAGGTCCTAGCTAATGCTCAACAGGCCGGTCTTGACAAGCTCGAGGAACTTAAACAGGTTGTGGCTCCTTACAAGACCGATCTGGGGGATTTGTGGCAACAGCTTCTGGATGCCACTGCACAGGCTAAGGCTGCTTTAGCTGGAAACTAAACAACTGTTACTTTTACGTTTTAAAGGATCCAGTGTAACTAGATTTTGTAATAATGACAAAATTTGACAATTATTGTTATATCCAAACAGTTTCATTGGAAATAAAAGTATGAATTTGATATATCTCGGTGGTACATTGTTAAACAGGGGTAATTTTTATGCATCATTTCCAAAAATCATTCCCCCACAGAGCTGATGTAGAAGATAACATAAGAACTTCCAGGCTGCTATTTTGTTCCTCGTTCTATGAAATACACTGAACAACAAAATTAGATGATTCAAGATGTTTAAAAAGACATCAGAAGTATTGAAAAGAGTGATCAAATTTCTAGAGTCCAAGCTGCATGTAAAGTAAAGTAAGATGCTATTTATATACTTTTGAGTATAAGCATTGATCTTTTACAACTATAAGAACACAAACAGTCATTTGGGAAAATTAAAATGACATAACATATGCAATATCAAAGTTTTTCTTTGAAGATTTTCAATAAATCGTAATTCTTTAAGGAGTCCATTACCTTCCGATGTGATGAAAAATTACCACCGTATTTTCAAAACATGGTTCTACCCTTTTTCATTAGTTAAAAACCCAAAATGGTATGAAGTTCTAAGTCTTTAAACAAATCATTAATTCAAATGTAAGCTCACACTCAGGGATTTGCCATGAAACATTTTTAGGACAAAAAGAAATTGTCTTAGTGTCATAAACAAATGTATATTACGTACATTCGTTCCCGATCTAATGCGTTTTGATCTGATCAACAAAAAATTTCAATGTTGTTTAATCCATTGCCCATCATTGGAAAGATCTGATAACATCTAGATTAATATGTCTTCTGGGTCTGCTTTGAAATCTGCTCTGACTCCCACAGTGGTTAAGGATGGTGACAAACTGTAGATAGGTGATGTAGATTTAGAAAAATTCTGTCCAGAGCATAAAATTTTAATATAATAAGATTTTTGTATTTTATAACAAGCGCATGCTCTTTCTCTTGCATATTTCTTTCAATTGATGCATTTTACGTAACCCATAGACTTTATTACATTGATAATATTCAATGTTGCAGTTTTGTTTTTATCGTAAGTTCGCAATAATCTGGTCGTTGATAATTTTGACAATTTTGGTTTTTTGTTTTTAAACAAATCAATCCCCCCTCCTTAAAATGAGACACTCGTAAAATACAAGGCACACTGGTGCTTGTTAACCTACAACAATAAATAAGAGATATCATGTAAGGGCAAGATAATGCGGCTACATGTAATCTATTCTCCAGATCGAAACCCTTGTAGCGAACTATTGTTGCAGGTATATCATAGTATGTGGTAATTGTAAAAAGCAATACAGACCGAATCTCTACACATCTTTATTTATATTTTAAGTTAACATGTTTTGCAGTTGAAAAAAATCGATACTTTGAATTCAGCAGTGTGGTCCTGCGGTCCTCATATCAAAGAAATACACCTGTTCATACCCGACGTTTAAGAAAACAAGCAACGTGTTCGTCATGGCCATCACAGTACTCTCATTGCCCCTTTAACCACTTCGTTAGTCGATATAATTTCTAAAGAATTATCACTGCGATTTAAGTTCAAGGATAAAAGACAACAAAACGGAACTAAGCAGTGGAACTATAATGGGATCTATGCATTTTCATCAGTGTTTTGAATTCTGTAATTTGGAACACAGACAAAACGAAGATTGTAAATAGTAAGACTAAAATTATTCATACTTTAAATATCTTCACAATTCATAGTATTTTTGTAGCATGCTGAAGAAAAAAATATTAAGGGCACCTTCGAACGGGTCTATTTTTAAAATCAAAGTGGCAAGTTCAAAAATAAAATTGAAATGAAAATAAGTTAAAGAAAAATATTATCTTATTCATTTAGTGAAATAAATTTTACACTTGACAATTTACTAAGCTTACACATGTCAATGAGTCAAAGAATACAAGTGAGAGAATCAAACAGTACAAATATGTAGTAACAGATAGCAACAAGACAGATAGGTTATCATTCTTTCATGGTGAAGTAGTGGAAACTTTGCTTTAATAGAAGTTGGGCATTAATCTCAAGTATAACACCATTACCTATATGTAATTAGGCAATTACAATATTTTGATTGAAAGTTAACAATGGAGAGTTGTGTAATTGTGAATAATAATAACAACAGATATTACGTTAGAGCTTAAAAATCCCCGCCATAATAAAAATAATGGAAAGCCTATGAAATGACGGCTAGATTAGAATGTTTGAAAGTTGTGAAAATTCGAAGGTTCTGTGTCATACATCCAAGTTAAAAAGGAGTGTTTTATGATTGTAAAATAACTACACACGAAAAAATCTTTTGGGTAACATAAGAGTGTTCTGCATATTTTGCTTACTATATCAGAGTGGTAAAACAACAGAACCATAACTACACAAATATTTTTTTGGAAATTAACCAACATATAGTCAAAGCCTCTATTAACTGCCATTGCGTTCATTACGAAGTGATTAAAGTGACTTCAGAACTAAACACGAAATACTAAATATAGTCGCAATATGATTGAAAAATTATATACTATAATTGCCATGATGACAATTGCCATCACATACTTTGATTAATGCATAAGCTAAATAACGTTCCTTGAGGCCATTTAAATCTAGTAACTTTAAACAAAATGTCGTAAGTATTAATCACACATATAGTAAGGAATAACTGCATGTGGACAGTACCTACAACTCGACTGTGTGGGTATGTAGGAGACATTAAAAGGATTTGCACTTTTTCTCATACTTATTTTTAAATAGACCTTAGTTCGAGCACCTAATCTTCTTTGACACTAGTAGATAAGCTCTGTCTGGTGACCCGCGTGGGTTATTGGCCTTGAGAGTCGTCTGGTTTCTCATCCGGTCCCACATTCTTGTCTGTAGTCTCAAAGTTTAGGAGTACGCATTACTTAATTGAGTTAATACCAGAGAGATATGCCTGAAAATAAAGATGTTTTAGGCTTATTGTGTGATCTTACTTACACTAACATAATCAAGCAATCCTTTACATGTGTAACATGTCATATATTTTCTTTACTGCAAAATGATATTCATATTTGCTAGATTGTTTTTAACTGGATAAATGGAAACAAACTTTCTTTTTCAAAGCGTGCATCTTTTCCTTTTCAGTTTAATAAAACTCTAAATTAAACTTTAAATGAAATATCTTAATTTCTCCTTTCCAATGATTTGACCACAAAATGACAACAAAACATGCCGCCCTTATTTCTTATTACAAAACATGGACAATTCTATTCCTCATTTTTAATCACTTTGGACACGTTCTGTACACTGTGTAAACTTTCTTACAACAGTTAAAAGTTTAAATGCAATCACAATCAGAACAAATGTATTTCTGAATTTAAGATGCCTAAATTAAGATGCCAAATAAAACAGGCACAATATGTTTGGTTTATTTTAATCGTCGAGTTTTATTCCATATCCTTATTAAGAAAAGTGCTATGCCCATAAGATTCATAATAGAATCAGCCGCTTACACTTGCTTACATGGCATAACAGTGAAAAAAAGAATAAAAGGAAATTGCTTGAAGGCTTTAATACATTGCAAGGGTTAAAGGGGGGAATTTAAGGTGAAAATATGTTTACTTTATGAAATATCCTGGATCTTCATCCACCATTACCAGATTGACCTACAATAAAAAAAAGATTATGTTCTAACATAATTTTTTCTTTGTTTTTTAATCGCAATAAATATGAAGTACTTTGTCGTTTAAAGAGCATCAACTGGACCTGCTAAGCTGAAAGTCACAAGATAATAGATCACGGACTGTTCCTGATAAGAAACCAAAAAGCAGATGCAATATGTTGGAATGGACAAAGGAATTTGGACCACCGGGCACCTTTCAAAATCAAAGTGGTAATATATTTCTGAGTATGACAAGTACACTACAAGTAGGCGGAATGTGTCCCAAAACGGTCATCGTAATTCTAAATACACACCTAATCACGCCTTGTGCTAAATGTGTGTTGAAAGGTGACGCGTAATGTCTCGTACTGCTTCCCACCTCGTCACGTAAGATAAGACACATACCACGCACTCTCACACTGTAATACTATAAAAACCGATGAGATTCTGTGGCGATTCACTCCATATATTCATACGGGCAGCAAGGTAAGCTGAGATCATAAAGTTTCCTAGTAAATTAAAATTTCCCGTCGTTTTATTGAGTTACCAGCTGTCAATCTGCAGTTTGGAATAGAATGCCTTGGGTTTCGGATATCATAAATTATACTTATTGGGAACTTACAGCCTTTTTGGGAACCCGTGTGACATGAAATATTTTCTAATGTAATCTGTCAAATATTTTGAATCTGTGAGTATCTCTGAGTTTATATGTTGGTTGTTTTATTTCAGCAATTATGAAGGTTTTGTTACTTGTACTTGTTGCCGCCTTTGTTGGTGCCCAGGCCGATTTCGTTCGCCGTAAGTGTTCATTAAGTTTTTTCTTTTCAGTTACATGTTCATGGTTACATATGTATTGGTATCTTAGACCTATTCTATTTGCAGCAAACAGCAATTCGTGGATGGTTCAAATTAAAAAAAAACTATCCGTTACTGTTTTTATGCATTTGGTACTTACCAAAACATCATAAATTTTAAATCATTAGGGTAAAACCTTTAGAATAAACTTTATTTATCTTACAGAGGACGTTAGACTAAATAATATAATATAATATAATATAATATAATATAATATAATATAATATAATATAATATAATAGCATTCTCAAAGCCACGATCACGATGTGTCATTAGCTAAATGCCTTCTGACTATTCATATATATATATATATATATATATATATTTTTTTTTTCTTTTTTTTTTTGCAGTGAATCTGGACAATGAGATTTCGGCTCTCGTGAGTGAAATCAACTCACCACGTCATATTCGTGATACTAACCCGTAAGTAACAGCTACTATTTCTAGAATCTAAATCACCACTTACCAACTTAACCACGTATCAGCCGTCATATAATCGTGACCAATATGTGCAATCTACATGTATAGGAGTTGCTTTGTAATTAATATTTAAGTTATTTTCTCCTTGGAAATAAGTTTTTGAATAGCTGTCGTTTATGTGGTCCATATCATCTCGGATATACGTAGTCATACTTTTGCTTTTACTATTGAGATAATCCATTAATGATAATCTTGAAGAAGTACGAAATTTTATCGTGTTGATTACAGAATTGCAAGGGCAACTCAGACTGTTCTTGGACAGCAGCTGGAGGAAAAACTGAATGATGTTACCGATAAGATAAACGAAGCCCTAGAGAAAACGCACCACGTACGTTTGCGAGTGTATACGTCCCATTTAAATGATTTTGAGAATTATCATTCAAAAATAGATGAACAGAGGGTATTAACGTTGTATGTAGTAAATGATTTACGTTTATGTCTCTTTAAAGGTTGAATTGGTTTCAGAATTTTCAATCACCAAATAATACGCATAAGCCTACTTTGCTAAGACGGCGATTTCCTCTAACAAATAATTAACATTATATTTATTCAAGGTCAGCAAGGCTCTCCTTGAACAGGCCCAAGAGCTGACTGAGCAGCTTAAGGCACTTGGTGGCAAGTACCTGGCCGATGCCAAGGCCATTTTGAGCAGTCTGAAAGATAAGCTCTCTGGTTTCACTGGCTGGGTGGCCGGGATTTTCGGTAAGTATAATATTGTTCTTATCATTGCATTTCTTCCTTAATCAAGATCTAATTTAAAGAGATAAAAGTCAATCTGGTGTTGAATGAATCTTTGGGTATTTCTTCAGCGTCCTATTATACTAAGAGTGACCTTTTTTTCAATTTCAACGAGGCATTAACTATGCTCCTGGCCACTTTCTTGGCTCATCCGTCTCTACAATTTGTTTCTAAGAATTAGGCAAATATTTTTTTCTAAAAGAACTTATGAGAAATTGCTCTTTCTCTTTAGATCTAAGGTAAACGCAGCTTAAAGTTTAAGTACACGTGGAATAAATGGAGTAATTGCAAGTACATTTAATTTTCAACAACTGCATAATCTCTACATTTTCTTCATTTTACAGGCAAGCGTGATCTCTTTGAAAACTTCGAGCAAGAACTCCTCGATGAGGTAAGGGCAACTATGTGCAGCGCGATAAATACTAGAAACAAACATGTTGATGGCGTTTTGATACTTTTAGTCTGATGGTCATTGTCAATATTAGTTATCCATTTACAAAAACAGAATATCATTCGTATATACTATATCAATATTGAATCGTTTAATCCGAGTGAATATTTTTAGCAATCTTTCGTCTCTGTACGTGATCTCAATTTTTATTATCAAGTAATGAATAATTAAACCTTTTCGTCGTTTTAGATGAACCTGCCATCCTTGTATCTCAAGGGTCCCTGGAGCCCATAGACATACACCGCTAGCATATTTTTGATACATTTTCTCATTCGTATTCAATATTATTTGGCGAGAAACTTACCCTTATTTATATTCTAGACCGTCGCCCTGGTTCTAGCTGACCGTGGTGTTCTTGACTGGTGGGCGAATTTGAAGGACTCTTTGTCTAAACTCCTAGGACGTTTTGGTTCCAAATTCAGTGACCTTTCAGCTTTTGTGCAGCAGTACGCAGGAGACCTGTGGGGAAAAGTGCGGGGACACTTCGATAACGTCAAACTTGTTGCACAAGAGGTATTTTTTCAACGTGTTGCCATAGGTGTTTAAATGTACAAGAAAAATTTCCCACCAAAAAGCATTCGTGTTTATATAAATCCAACTTGCTATAAATGCTTTATGGAGGTTTGTTCCACTTAAGGGATCATTTAAAATATATACGACCTATTAAAACATCAAAATGTTGAAATCCAAATATCACTTTCAGTACCTTGAGCACGCTAAGAATGCTAGCTTGGCCGTCACCGAAGAGGTTGTCGAGTTCTTGAGACCCTACAAACAGGATCTTGGAAGCCTCTGGGGCCAAGTCGTGAATGCCGCCAATAACGTCAAACACATCGCCCTGACAGGGACTACTCCACCCCCTGAACCAGGTACGCGCTTCCTCTAATGAGACAAAAATGTTGGTTAAAACGATACTTAAATTTCACTTTTGAAACTCCGATACGGTATCTTGACGATTGAATTCAAAGTCAATCTTTCAAAGACAAGTAAATACTATTAGTATGTATTAGTCTTATGGTGAACACGCTCGATAGCCCTTTATCGATGAAGTCATGTTTTTAAGAGTAGAATCTTTGTGATCACATGTCAAGTAGCCCTGTTTCTTTTTACTTTTATCCTTTAATGCTTCTTTTTCAAAGGGGCATACTGTACGTTCACTTATATACTCGTTTTCGGAAGTTATCATTTATATATACAGACACCTAAAGTGTATATTCTGATTGGTCTGTCTGTCCGTGTCGTCCGTGTCGTCGCCGTCGCTTTCCGACAATGACGTTTACATCATAACTGCCAAACCATATTTTTGTTTTACTTTAAATTTACTGAGTGGCTTTGTTTAGTAAAGAGGTTGCTTTCGAAAATCAGCATGATCGGTTTAGATTTACGGTAAATATTCCGTTTTTTTTTCACAATTTTGGTGACATTTACCTCATAATTTAAGTGACAGACCGTTATTCTGTTTTGCTTTTTTTTTTTGCCGAGTGGCTTTGTTTGGTAAAAAGGCAGGGCCCAGTTTTATAAAGGACGTTTAGCACTAACCAGTGTTTAACTCTAACCAGACCTAAACAGTCTGTTAGTTAACTGACCTTTACATAATTATTTAATCCAGTTAAACAATGGCCAGTTAACTAATTGGCTGTTTTCCGTCAGAAGACTGTATATGAAATACAATTTAACCATCTTTTATTTAATGGGTGTTAGGAGAATTTATCCACTGGTTAGGCTTATCCACTGGTTAGTGCTAAACGTCCTTTATAAAACTGGGCCCAGGTTGTTTCTGAAAATCTGCATAATCGGATTTTACAATATTTTTGTATAATTTTGGCAGTTTATGTTTGCCCCCATAAGTACCAAACCAAAGTTTTGTTTCAAATTGGCTTTGTTTGGTAAAGAGACGGGTTGCTATCTACATGGTCTAGGTGCTAGCAATCCATTTATTTAAATTATTTGTTTAATGGTATAAAATAAGGGAAATTTTATCTAAAGAACTAAATAATATGTTTTTCTACCTAGGAGGCATGGCCTTGTCGCATGAAATACATGTACTAATAAGATAATGATTTATTAAACCAATAAAATAAGCAAAATATATAATATCGAGAATCTTTTGCCTTGTAAAAGCAGTTATGTTATCAATTCCTGCAATCTCATGCATGAGTGTCGTTCCTGATGTTGATATGAGATGATTAACATTATTTGCATGGACACGTTGACAAATTACAGTATGACAGGGTCGCACAAGTGTACAAGTTTCGGATTTTTCAGCAAAACTTTATTTTACAGTATAATAAAATCAAGTAAATAAATTAATTTAAAAAATAGCCGCCATGAGGTTATAAAATACGAGGGAGTGGCATGAGAATGATTTTGTTACGCTTGCCAAATTTGCTGTCGTACAAATAAGTGGTTACGCACTGAAAATTATTCCTAAATTATACCTTTTAATTCATCATATCTTTCAAATGCATGTTTCGAAGCACTAATCAAAGAATTATTTAAGGATAGTGTCACCCTTCGCTCAAAACTCCTTATTTACTGCCTTACATACATTCTTTTGGGTAATAGATAACATTTAGTACTCCAAAAGCCTGCCAGCAATTTTTCTTACCTGTTTTAGGTAATATTTTCGTTGATAAAGCAAAATAATGCCTTTGTTTAATGAAAATCTGTAATTAGGCTAATTCTATAACAAAAACATTTAAACCAAAATGACGGCACGGGATTGTAGCCCGTACACTCAACTCTGCTAATTTTCCGGATAAAACTTTGTTCAGGGATGAAGTTATGCCCCATACCGATTGCTATCTCACCTCAAAATAGAATTTTTTTTTTTTGAAACACATTTTGAAAGCCATTTCATTTTGTTTGACATTTGTCAGTAGATTATGCAGGTCCTCGACTAAGAGGTATCTATTTTTCGCTGGTACCCTGTTTGTGGGAGAATAAGCGATTGTTGTCTATATATTTGCCAGCTTTGCTTCCTAGTTGTGAATGGGTAAGCCCTATGCGGTACACGCAGACACCACTCGTTGTGACTGCATACGATGTACACTTTCTTAATGCTTTATATTACACATATATCATGTTTCAGCTGCAGTTGAGGACGAGATCCAGGCTGCAGTTCGTGCTTTCAGGTCTGTTTTTGATGAAGAGATCAGCAAGCGTGATTTGGACGAAGAGAAGAGAGCGTAAGTATTTTTCTGATTTTTTGACATATTTTTGGACATTACTCGAATTTGGTGGAGTGCATGGCAAGGGCTGGATCAAGAGAGATAATTGAGGTTTTTCGCCTTATAATCTATTCTTAATTAACTATTTCTGTACATAATGAAATAGTTGTGGCATGAATATAAAAAGTTAAAAGTGTTTTTATCGGTTTAAAACATTTTGCTTTGCAGCGTCCTTCGTGCTGTTCAGACCCCTGCTGGAAAAGCTTTGGAGTCAGCTCTCCAGACAACTGTTAACCAAATAAACGAAGCCGTTGAACACGGAAAGCAGGTATCACAGTGTTTGCCATGACACTCTGTGGGATTTAGTTTTTAAGACAACTAAACACATTTATATGTGACTTTTACATCTTAATATTACCGAATTATCATCAACATATTCTCTTTTTGTCTTTCGATTATCGAGGAATACTTTTCGTTAACGTTTTACATATTTTGTTATTTTAAGAGCTAAGGTATCTTAGTTGTTTTTAAAAGCATTTAAATTTATACTTCAACAGAAAAAAGTGAATTAACCGCATTTTGCTGCGACTTATAAAACATTATGCTCTCCCTTTTTCAATTGTTTATTATAAATTTATTATTTTTCATATTCCTAAATTTCTGTTTTCAGAAGAGCTTATAAAACGTGACAATTAGTCTATAACAATCGATCTTCAGGTTACTGACGACATGCTGCAAAAGCTCGCTAACTACACCGAACTGTTAAAGGAAGAAGGCAGAGGAGCCTACAACGACGCCAAGAACATCCTTAACAAACTCACAGCTGACGCCAAGAAAGCCATTGAAAGTACTCTTCAACAATTACAGGGCATCAGAGAGAACTTCTATAAAGCATTTAAATCTATGTTTGACAACTTTTTCGGGTTTTTCAAAGGAATTTTCGGTATGTTTTGGTTTTTGTTTTGTAGATTTACTCGTGACAATTTATTTACTTGATTGGCATATCTTCAAGCTTTATTTCCATTTTAATAATCCGAAAAATTACAATATATTTCAGGCTTTAAAACAATATAAACATTTTGAAACTTATTTTAAAATAAATAAAAGAAAATGTTTACAAAAATAAATGTGAAGTTTAATATTTGCTCCACTCACAAATGTAAGCAAACTACCAATAATGCTCCTACCACAGCAGATTTTTGTGAAAAGATGCCCAACTCTTGGTTTCTTTAAGCTTAAAAATGTCTCTAAACCTGAAACGCATAACCCTTGAACATCCGCCATCCCCATACCACGTGCACCTCACTAAAAATCCTACGCCCATCAATGGGTCTATCTAAACGGCAACCAGAAAAAAAAAATTTTTTTCATTACAAAATGGAAAACTGGTAACAAAGCAACCGTAGCATATCCCTAACTGTGATTTTCCCCATTGTCATTTATTTTTAATTGCATTTTTTATAATTTCAGGAAAACGGGCAACTAGAGCCCTTTGGGCAAAATTCGTGGACAGCTTGCAGTCGGTATTTGCAAAGTTCAAGGGTAAATACGATGATCTTGCTGATTTCGTCAAAGATAAACTTGGGGCTAGAGTAGATGAAGCCCGAGGACACGTGGAGAACATCAAGCTGATGACTCAGACTGTAAGTAAACTTTGTACTTGTTTGAATCAGTTTGAAGGCATGAATGCTTAGGTCTAGGACCCAATATAACATAAGTGGTATGTGTGGGCCTAGCTTAGGTCTTAATTTTCATAACAGCTAAATATTCAAAACAGTAAGAAAAATCTGGCATTTGTTTTAACCCTGAAATTAGCATTTTATTAGGTATTATTTCATTTTAAGCATAGAGTTCTTTATTTGTTATTATATTTAATTCCATCATGCAGTCATGCCATATCATAGTGTCCCAGAGTCATCCCACACCGTTCCCCACTTAGCCATGCTAATTCTCAAAATATAACATCTTCTGCATTACTATACAGAGGCTTCTTTTTTCAATATATTACATTTATATTCCCCTGGTTTATTATCAGGTTCTTAACCATACTCAAGAAGCTGGAGAAGCCAAGTTGAAGGAGCTGCAGGAGGTGGTTAAAGCCTACAAGTCTGATCTGGGTGATTTGTGGGACCAGTTGGAAACTGCTATTAAAAACATAGGCTAAGACGAAAAAACCAACAAGAACATTCCTGAATTTAGATATTTTTTAATATCTTGCTGACCATTATGCATTTAAAATTGACAGAATACAAGATGGCATGAAATAAAACAGGATTCAACTTAATTTTTCTTTTGAAGTATAGTTCCATGCTCAATACATTTATGGCCTTATGGCACCTATACTTGTCATGAACAATTATTCCTACCAGTACTATTGCACAGGCAGCATGACTACCATAATAATTAATGAAATGAGAAGCAGTTGCACAAAAGATGAATAAAACTGTCAAATTTGCTACACATTTACCATTTTTAAATACAGACTTGACATTTAATATGGAATATTTCAGTTTTAAAGGTATACCTAGGTAAATATGCTTCTTTATTTAAAAAAACTCAGATCTCATATAAGGAGAAGTGTGAAGTCAGGTGTGTCGCTACCAATTAATTGATTACCAAGTCTGTTGCACTGCTGCATTGTGTAATATGCAGTGATTTAATTGGGTAGTGCTCCTTTGGGCTGGTCAAAGCTTGGCTTTGGCGAAGCATGGTTCTGTCAAAAAAGTATTCATATGTCGGCAACTACTGCATAGCAGAATTTGAAATTTTGCATGCAAGCGGTCGGTTTTGTAGTGCGTAAAATGAGTTAAGCAGTGTTTTACAAAATTGTAAAGCTGTGCCAGAATCTCGCGAAAAAATACAGACATTGCCAAACAGGTTATTGCGCCAAACGGTTCGCACAGTTCCATAGAGTAATGTCCAGACTTATGCACCCAAACAGAGACCATGCCCAATGTATCGATATCTTACCACCAGGGTACAGGGCTCAATGGCCTTCAGGATATGCTGCTGCAATTAAACCAAAACCACCAAGTCCGTTTTTAATGAGGGGCAAATTGTCACCAAAACGCGTTTTCCAAGGCCCTTAGCGAACGCCAAAGTGGTTTCAGCAGGTTAGGAAAATAGGCCACCTCTGAGGGAGCCACTGTAAACAGCAAAACAGCGTAGTCTGTTTCTCTAATGAATTGGGGACCATGACCGTTTCTTGGTAGAACGTGTTTTTCTTTATTGAGGTCAAATTTCACCTGTACCGCTAAATTGGTCAAAACAGAGTTTACAGACATCCTGAAGAGGTCTACGACAAGGCGTGTGCCGCTTCTGAAGTGACTAGGATCATTGACAGCGTCAACATTTGGAGTGGATACCACATTGGTGCCAAAACATCAGTGGACGTCATCGATGAAAACTTGAACCAGATCAAATAAAGGAATAATCTGGGAACCACTTGACTGTCCTTGGATAGGGGGCACCTTAGGAACAGTTTTAGGTTGCTGAGATTGCCGGTTCACACAGATCACTTTTAATGGCAGATAACTTACAGAACCAAGGGAATGAGCAGCTACCTTGGTCATCAAAATCGCCATATTTGAACCACATAGACAATATGCGGTTAGGTCATTAGTCGCCGAATCAACGGCCTGCTTGCTCTACAACAAAACTGAACCAAGTTTTAACCGTTGCCTGGAATTTTATTCCAGATTAAATTCTAAAAATCTATCCTAAGGAATGCCTTGCCGCTTGAAAGCTCTGGTACCAGGAATATGAGGTCAGGCATAACAGCGACTGTTGCTGTGACTAGACACTGACATGAGGGGCCTTTGTGGGGCGTGTAACTGTTTTAAAGATGATAATTTGGAAAATATGGAGATCCAAAATATCGCTTTCAATGGTTGTCGTATGACTTGAAATAGGCAATGCATTTGATGATGTCACAATGACATCTAACAGATTATCAAAAGTTATTAAAACACGATTTTAATTCTTATTTTCATTTATCAGTCTGCAAAATAGGAAAAAAACTGATGAATTATGATTTGGAAAAAATATTCCATATTAAATGTCAAGTCTGTAATTGAAAAAGATCACACTGCAAAATATTTCAACCAGCTGACAGGAAACATTTTTCAATATGAATGGTAGAATACAGATTGCACATTAGAGTATCTATACCTTGACTTACTTTGCAATTATATATATATATATTCCATTGTTATAACGGTAAGGGTTTTTGCCCACATTTGAAAAATGACCCAACAGAATTTCATTATCCTGCAAAACTTTTTATATTTTCCATCCAGACCTTAATGATGAAAAAATCCTAAAATAAAAGTAAATCTGAAGTGTACCTAATATCGCTAATATTATCTTCTCAGCCAAGGTAGTAGCCATGCCATCTTGCAATTTCAAGATAATTGTCTGTAGTATAATTGCACATGATACAAGGCCACACTACAAAGCATTGTGCCATTTTTCGAGGAATGAAGTGGATAAGTCCATGGTCGGAAGGGAATGGTTAATGTTATTACAGAAAATGTTAATCTAAATGACTTGACTGGCCAGTCAATTTTAACTGAATTATTAAATTAAAATGGATTAAAATATCCAATCCAAGTACAGGGAAGGGTTGAACAATGATATGTGAGTAGGAGAAAAAACTTCAATTGAAGAATATTTGTTTTGGCAGACAAAATTTGCATAGATTACCTGTAGCTTTATCAAACAGTCAAAGCAACAGGAAAAGTGAAAAAGAACAATACATACATGATACAGTATATGTAATGTATAAATTTGATTCAATGTAAGAATAGTTCTTTAATATGAAATATGTGCATCATTATTTAATATGCATGATCTTTAAAATCTTGTCCTTGATATTGTAATTTCAAATTTTACAGTTCAATATTTGTTCATTTACACCAAAACCAAAGAAAAACTTTTTTCCATTAAAGCAGAATTTTTTTGTTTTAGCTATTTCAAAATTGGATAAAGCCTTTTCTGCGGTGTCAAAAGCCACGCATCACAGATGCTGATTCATGTGTATCACTCTTCTAGTCCTCCATGGCCTCTTCTAGAAGGCTTTACAAAATATAGACATCTGCTGAAATACTCTCTCAAAGCCATCTTCCTCTTCCTAAAGAATAAATAAAAACTTGTCTCACGTTCTCGTCTGTAGCCTTTATTTTAGGAGTATGCACCCCATAACCCAATTGATTTGATACTACTTGCAGTAATTCCAGATGTATAACTGATAGAAACCTCTTGTTTCGTGCACTGTATTAAGCTTGCCAAGCGCAACACTGGGGGTGGTATCCGTTTTTTTTTTTTCATACAGTTTGCGAGTTGTGCCATATCAAAGAGTACAACGTCGCAATATTCAGTGGTTAAAATAAAATGTGAAATAACCCCTAAATTAGCAGAGATACGTCCATAGTTACTGTGGAACTTTAAAAGGAAGTCATATGCTGGCAATCTAACTGTGACCTTGAAGTTGACCTTTGACCTACTTTTCACCATAAACTGAACTTTGCAATTTTTCTGTCGCAATGCTGTTAGCGGGTGACCTAAACCCTACTCCCTTTTTTGTGACAAAGGAAGGGGGGTTCAGTTTTTCCCATATGTTGAAAACAGCTGGAAAAGTGAACTCTTTATAATTGCCATATCATCCTATTTTGCATCTTACCTGCAGATTGGTATAATAGTTAATTTAAGTGGTTTTCTGTGGAAAAGCAATTTCCTTACGGTTTGTAGTTAATAGCAGCCAGAATAAAACATGAACGAAAAACAGCGTTATATTTCTGAGTTCAAATGATGTATGGATAGACCCGCAAAGCTTGCTGGGCCGTATTATGAGTAAAGCATTGTCGGGTCTTAAAAATAAAGACAAGTTTCTCATATAACATGAAGACAGCGGATAGGCAAGTTGGTTTTTGGCAACTTTCCTATCACAACACGTGAGAAAGTGAATAATGACCAAGTAAGCATAACCGGATTGGGGCCCAATTGCTCTCTTTAATTGTGAATGTCAAACTGGCAATCTAACTGTGGGCTTGAAATGGACCTTTGACCTACTTTTCACCATGAACTTTCAGTCCCTTATATCTCCAAAACTGGCAGAGATATGCCCAAAGATACTACTGAACTTGACCTATTTTTCGCTATGAACCGCACTTCACAAATTTGGATTTGACCTTTTACTTTTCCCCCATGATTTTGTTATAAATTGTTATTTTCAACAATTTTTTTTTCTTTGTTTTCCATACGAATGCGCTTACTCCAGCTGGTGGTACAATACCCGGAGGCGGTATCGCCTCTCTGATCATCTAGTTTTCATTAGTTTCTGACCTCAATGAATATGAAGTATATCGTCGATTAAAGATCATGTACTGGGCCTGCTTAGCTGAGTATGAGGGGATGAAAGATTATAGAATGTTCCTTACAAGAAACCAATGAGCAATATGTAAGAAAGACAAAGGAGTTTGGACTACCGGGCAAATTTCTAAATCAAAGTGGTAATAGATTTCCAAGTATGATAAGTACTTTATACTACTACTACTTCTATCTCCTATTACGCCGTTGGGCGTCTAGGGCGTCAACAAAGGTCCTCTACTCCTCTCTGTCTCTCGCTAGGTGTTGAATTGTCCCCCAACTTTCACCCAGTTGTTTCAATTCTGCTTCAACTGTCCTCCTCCATGTGGTCTTGGTACTGCCCCTTTTTCTATGCCCCTCTGGTGTCCAGTACATGGCTACTTTAGTGGTGGAATTTGGGTCTTTCCTCAGAACATGGCCAATCCATTTCCATCTTCTTGTCCTGATGATTTCACTTATACTTCTCTGGTTTGTTTGCTTTAGCAGATCATCATTAGATATAGTTCTTGGCCAAAATATTTTTAATATTTTTCTGAGGCTTGAGGTGTGAAAAGTAGACAACTTTTTTATATCTTCTTCAGTTATGCGCCAGCATTCCGAACCATAGAGAAGAGTTGATAGTATACAGCTCTCAAATATTCGGAGTTTGGTTTTTATACTATATTGAGAGCATTTCCAGATTTTGTTTAAGCTCTTAAAGGCATTTCTGGCTTTGGTTAGTCTGTTGTTGACATCTCTACTGGTTCCTCCATCTGTGGCTACAATGCTTCCTAGGTATGTAAAGCAGCTGGTGTTATTAAGGATGCAGCCTTCCACTTCAACTGATGGTGGTGATTGTATATTTAATGCCATCACTTCAGTCTTCTTTTTGCTTATCCTAAGCCCAATTTGCTGACTGAAGATGTTAAGTATGTCAGTCTTCTCTTGTATATGCTGATGTGTGTGGGACAGTAATGCAAGATCGTCTTCAAAATCGAGGTCTTCTAGAGTCGAGTATAAAGTCCATCTTATTCCTCTTGATGTATCTTCTGTGGTGCACCTCATTACCCAGTCAATTGCTAAATTAAACAAGATGGATGACAGCACACAGCCCTGACGCACGCCCGTTTGGACTTTAAAACTCATATTAGTCTCGCCAACACAACAGCAGAAGTGACTATAAAAGCATCTTATCATCCTAACAATCTTTGGTGGTACTCCGTAATTTCTAAGGATCTTCCAGATCTATTCCAGATCTATGTATACTGTCAAAAGCTTTTTCAAAATCAATAAAGTTAATAAAGAGCTATNAATTTCCAGATTTTGTTTAAGCTCTTAAAGGCATTTCTGGCTTTGGTTAGTGTGTTGTTGACATCTCTACTGGTTCCTCCATCTGTGGCTACAATGCTTCCTAGGTATGTAAAGCAGCTGGTGTTATTAAGGATGCAGCCTTCCACTTCAACTGGTGGTGGTGATTGTATATTTAATGCCATCACTTCAGTCTGCTTTTTGCTTATCCTAAGCCCAATTTGCTGACTGAAGATGTTAAGTATGTCAGTCTTCTCTTGTATATGCTGATGTGTGTGGGACAGTAATGCAAGATCGTCTGCAAAATCGAGGTCTTCTAGAGTCGAGTATAAAGTCCATCTTATTCCTCTTGATGTATCTTCTGTGGTGCGCCTCATTACTCAGTCAATTGCTAAATTAAACAAGATGGATGACAGCACACAGCCCTGACGCACGCCCGTTTGGACTTTAAAACTCATATTAGTCTCGCCAACACAACAGCAGAAGTGACTATAAAAGCATCTTATCATCCTAACAATCTTTGGTGGTACTCCGTAATTTCTAAGGATCTTCCAGAGACTATCTCTATGTATACAATTTTAACCGTGACTTAAAACGGTTAAACCGTTAGAATATTTGTCTCATATGCAATATTGTTGTTGAATGGACCTATTTCCAAAATCTATTTGTGTTTTTAAAATCTAACTTAGCAATTTGGCAAATCACTTTGCTCTCTGAGAAATTTTATTTACTTATCAATCAATGCATTTAAGTTATTAATATTTTTGCACATTCATAATTTGAAAGACATTTACTTCTGTCGCAAATTGTGCAACCACCCAAGTTCATCTGCATTTTCTGCTGCAAAAATCAAGTTTTTGAAGTGCTCTGACTGCTCAACAAACTGCATGGGGCTTAAGGTCTTCAGTATTCATTGTGTCCAAGAATTGTAACTTGGAATTCTCTTCAACTGGTCTGAAGCGTAAAGCATTTTCAACCGATGCATTCTCTCGGAAAATTATAGTCGCGAACGTCTCCACTTGTTCCTGGCTTGAACTGCAGCGCTCTCTCGAGGTATTCATCCGGGCCCGGTTTCATCAAGGCTGGATAGCGCTATCCTATGGATAAAAATGGCCGCTATCCTCAGAATGGAGCAATCCAGAGGATAGTGCGTTTCATCAACAGTGGATAGCGTTATCCAGGGGATAAATCAGCTTATCCAGAGGATAAAGTTGTCCGCTCGAAAAAGGTGGGATAAATCTGCTATCATGCTGTTAAATCATCAAAAATGGCTAACCTGCTTGGTTTAGCAGTAAATCCTGTGAGATTTCACAGGCGGAGAATAATTAGAAGGAGAATTTTAAAAGGTGTGTTTGCTTTTGATGCTTTGAGTGATACTGAATCAATAGATTACATAACAGACTTGATTAAAGTTGACAGCGCGCCTGCTACGAACGGAACCCATGCAATCTCCGTGAGCGACCAATTATCTTTTATTTTACTAAAACATACCTTGTAAATCGACGACAAAACTCTACACTGTTATATTGACAAAGCTCTACCAAACTTGCCAAGTCAGCCATTTTGTTAGAAAGTATGTCACGACCTTGCCCTTCAAATGCAAATTGTAAACATTGCATGAGGCACAACTAATGCTGCAATGTGATGTGTTTTTGACACTGACACTAAAATATGCTGTAGATAGAAATTATTTCTTTGTGTGTTATCCGAAAATTTAAAAAAAAAAACACGAATGAAGAAAATTTTACTGGATACTGAAGGCTTCTAATGGCGTCCTCACTTATTGTACCCATACTTTTATACACCAAGCAACTTGACAAAAGCACGGCATGGTTTTCATTGCCCTTTTCAGGGTCAGACAATCATTCCGTGTCCAGCACCAGGCCTCGGTTTGAATCTCCTGGGTACGGGCGGTACCATAACCAGATTCCCTTGAATGTGGATTGGATCGTGGATCCTAAGGCAAAGCCATTGCCAGGCCCGTAGCCAGCAATTAAAAAGGTGGGTTCTTTTTTTGAAAAAGTGGACCTTTTCCCATAAAAACATCATGTACCTAGATCAAATTTTACCATCATCATCATCATTGCTCTTCGTCCCGCGTGGGACATAAGGCCACAGTCACTTCTTTCCATTTGGCCCTGTCTCTGGCTACGTGCTGGGCCTGTCCCCATGTAAGGTCCCCCTCCCTCAGCTCTGCCATCATTGTTCGGCGCCAGTGGTTTTTACCAAAAGTGGGCCTTTTCCCAGCAAAAGGGACGGTTCTTTTGACCCCCCCCCCCGACCCCCCCTCCCCCCGGCTACTGGCCTGATTGCTCTCGCCGAACAATAAGATCTTCAAGTAGGACTTTCCCGTACGATACTTTCCAGTAACACTGATCACGCTTACTGGGATATCGATGTTTTGCAGAGCTGTTATTGCATCTTTGCTGACCTCAAGCTTCCCATTTTCAGACGTCCCGATACAAAGTACTGGTTTATCCATAAACCCGGGTTCCTAATAAAGAACTTGAAGTGATAACCCCTTTTATCAAAGTATGAGCATTCCTAAGCTTGATGACATACGTATGCGCTGTTTTCTTTTATTTCACAATAAAACACTTAATCGTACAATAAAGTTAGCAAACGAAATAAAGCTGTACAAAGCAAACTATATTTTTTTCTCACAAGTAACGTGAGTTCGTAAAATATAAACTCAATTTCCTGATAATTAAATTACGACAGGCTGTGCGTCAGTTGGTTATCGCTATTACCAAAACGTTTGTATTTGTTTTCATACCCTTTATTTTGCATCTAGTGTTGTTTCATATGAATCATTTTCAAGCTTTTGATATACAAGAAGATTTTAACTATTCTGTATCATACTAACTTGTTCAAATATAATACGCGGATGAAAGTGATGGAAAAAAATTACCGGGCCTACTTTTGTTGTCCCTGAGGAATGAAGATATTTAGACATATTTTCAGTGTATACGAACATATGAACCACCCATAAAAAAACGGACCTGCTTTGTCTTGACCTCATTATCAATAAAGCAAAATAACACTTTCTTGAATAAAAACATCTATTTTCAACATGTATCGTTGCATGTACAGTATGAAGTTATTTGTATGACTGTAGCGATGTTGAGTACAAATACAACGTCAGTGATAACAATTAAAGCACGCAGATGTGCTTAATACAAATACAGCAAGTTAAATATAAAATTTTTATTAAGTTCACACTTACACGGATATTTAGCGATGTTAAAATACATGTACATGTAAGCGGCATTAATAGATTTCCATTTAGAAACAATACGTAGGGTTAATTTGAAAGTGAGCTTTAAAATATTAAGCATTAAGTGCTATTTTATTTGTATACACGGAGAGAGAGAGAGAGAGAGAGAGAGAGAGAGAGAGTGGCTTCACGGCACAATCTCCATTCGTACTAAAAAGTTAAGTTGACATTGGGGAATAACATACAGAAGGTTAACAGTCAATAGAGACTTGTAATATATTGCAAAGTGTCATCTGAATAACGACAAGCGATTCAATGTATATTCTGCCTTGAAAGAAATTAAAAAAATTTCTTTAAAAGGCCTCCTGCAATTCCTCCCGCAAATCCTGCCACAAATGCTGACGCATCTCCTCCAAAAAATTCTCCAATAGCACGGGCAATATCTGAAAAACATAGTTTCAAGCAATTTTCTATTATAATGACCGAAATGAAATTGATTTGAAAAAACAATCTGATTTAGTACAAAAAGAAATCTTTCTTACTTTTTTTTTTATTCCAGTGAGGTAACTTTACTGTAATACCTTGTTCGTTATAATAATTAATTAAACATTAGTGTAAATAGTTATGTTACTACCGCCACTTTTGGGTGGGTTTTCCCTGTTTTCTTCGTTACGCTTCTCTTGGCGCAACATATTTTCCTTCATTTGGGCCACCAGCTGTTCATATTGGTCCTGCATCTTTCTCATGTTCTCTCTCATCTCATCCAGCATTTTCTTGTGTTGTTCTGCCTGAGCATGGAGGCCCTCCTGTAGGAGGCGCTCGTATTCTTTTTCTTTAGCCCGTATGTCCTCCTCATATCGATCCTGAACGTTCCGGAATTTTTCATCAAATTGGACATTGATGTTTTGCATCAAGGCGAGTTTACTCTTCCCCTTGTCGTCAAGTTCCTGTTGTCGCTGTAGCTGTTGCTCTATCTTAAGTTTTTCCCTCAAAAATTCTTGTTGTTGCCTTTCTCTGGCCTCTGCACGCTTCTTCTCCTTTCGTGACATCGCCTGAAAGTAACAAACTCCGGTTTACAACAGACCATACGTGAATAACAAATGTCCTTGGTAGATATTCACTTGAACAAACATACCGAGTTGTCATCTTTTATAGAATAATAATCAATTCGTACCATATCTGCATTCATGATCGCCTCCCCCTCACTTTTCTTGGCTTCATTGAAGCGTTCCATTTCCTCGTCAGCGCATGGACCCTTCCTTTGTGTGTTGGCGTATATCTCTTTTACTTTCTGATAATCTGCTTGGTACTTCCCGTACCCCCCTGCGACTCTGTAGTGACCAGCCCGGATGTTTCTGGCAATATCGGCATACTCGTTTTGCAGGATAGCTTTGCATTTTTTCCTCGAAGCTTCTTTGTTTTTCGCCGCATAGTCGTCATAGATAGACAGCAATTGTTCCTATAAAATATAAGTTCATGTTATTTACTTCTATTAATTTTACTCAATCAAATTATGTTAGTTATCAACATCAATGTGCGATAATGTACTATATAAGAGAGCATATTCAACACCGCGGCAAAAATCTCTTTTACTTTTTCTTTCTTCCTTAATTTAATTTAT